TTTACACTACAGTTATAAAACTGCAACATTAACACCCCTCCTTGAGAGTGCAGGCACTGTACTTCCTATCTCCAGGACTCAAGTCCGGCCTGCCGGTTTCCCTGAATCCCTTCATAAATGTTACTTTGCTCACACTCCAACAGCACGTCAAGTATTATAAACCATTTGTCTCCATTCACTCCTATCAAATACGCTCACACATGCTTGCTGGAAGTCCAAGCCCCTTGCACACAAAACCTCCTTTACCCCCTCCCTCCAACCCTTCCTAGGCCGACCCCTACCCCTCCTTCCCTCCACTACAGATTTATAAACTCTCGAAGTCAATCTGTTTTGCTCCATTCTCTCTACATGTCCAAACCACCTCAGCAACCCCTCCTCATCCCTCTGGATAATAGGTTTGGTAATCCCACACCTTCTCATAATTTCCAAACTACGAATTCTCTGCATTATATTCACACCACACATTGCCCTCAGACATGACATCTCCACTGCCTCCAGCCTTCTCCTCACTCCAACATTCATCATCCATGCTTCACACCCATATAAGAGCGTTGGTACAACTATACCCTCATATATTCCCCTTTTTGCTTTCATGGACAAAGTTCTTTGTCTCCACAGACTCCTAAGTGCACCACTCACCCTTTTTCTGCTGACACGTCCACTTCTAAATATATGAATACATTCACATCCTCCATACTCTCTCCCTCCAATCTGATATCTACTCTTTCGTCACCTAATCTTTTTGTTATCCTCATTACCTTACTCTTTCCTATATTCACTTTTAATTTTCTTCTTTTACATACCCTACCAAATTCATCCACCAACCTCTGCAACTTCTCTTCAGAATCTCCATGAGCACAGTGTCATCAGCAAAGAGCAACTGTGACAACTCCCACTTTGTGTCTGTTTCTTTATCTTTTAACTCCACGCCTCTTGCCAAGCCCTCGCATTCACTTCTCTTACGACCCCATCTATAAATATATTAAACAACCACGGTGACATCACACACCCTTGTCTAAGGCCTACTTTTACTGAGAAATAATCTCCCTCTTTCCTACATACTCTAACCTGAGTCTCGCTATCCTCATAAAAACTGTTCACTGCTTTCAGTAACCTACCTCCTTCACCATACACCTGCAACATCTGCCACATTGCCCCCGTATCCACCCTGTCATGCGCCTTTTCCAAATCCATAAACGCCACAAAACCCTCTTTACCCTTATCTAAATACTGTTCACCTATATGTTTCACTGTAAACACTTGGTCCACAACCCCCCCCCACCCTTCCTAAAGCCTCCTTGTTCGTCTGCTATCCTACTCTCTGTCTTACTCTTAATTCTTTCAACAATAACTCTACCATACACTTCACCAGATATACTCAACAGACTTGTTCCCCTATAATTTTTGCACTCTCTTTTATCCCCTTTGCCTTTATACAAAGGAACTATACATGCTTTCTGCCAACCCCTAGGTACCTTACCCTCTTCCATACATTTATTAAAAAATAGCACAAACCGCTCCAAAACTATAATTCTACCTGCTTTTAACATTTCTGTCTTTATCCCATCATTCCCAGCTGCCTTACCGTAACCCTTTCATTCTACCCACTGCCTCACGAACTTCCCTCTCACTCACAACTGGCTCTTCCTCACTCCTACAAGAAGTTATTCCTCCTTGCCCTATACACGAAATCACAGCTTCCCTATCTTCATCAACAATTAACAAGTCCTCAAAATATTCCTTCCATCTTCCCGATACCCCTAACTCTCCATTTAATAACTCTCCTCTCCTATTTTTAAGTGTCAAATCCATTTGTTCTCTAGGCTTCCTCAACTTATTAATCTCCAAAACTTTTTCTTATTTTCAACAAAATTTGATGATAACATCTCACCCACTCTCTGAGTTGCTCTCCTTTTACATTGCTTCACTACTCTCTTAACCTCTCTTTTTTTCTCCATATACTCTTCCATCCTTGCATCACTTCTACTTTGTAAAACCTCTCATATGCTAACTTTTTCTCCCTTACTACTCTCTTTACATCATCATTCCACCAATCGCTCTTCTTCCCTCCTGCACCCACTTTCCTGTAACCACAAACTTCTACTGAACACGCTAACAGTACATTTCTTAAACTTACCCCATACATCTTCGACCCCATTGCCTATACTCTCACTAGCCCATCTATCCTCCAGTAGTTGTTTATATCTTATCCTAACTGCCTCCTCTTATAGTTTACACACCTTCACCTCTCTCTTAATAGCTGCATCTGTTTTCCTTGTATCCCATCTACCTTTTACTTCACTGTAGCTACAACTAGAAAGTGATTTGATATATCTGTGGCCCCTCTATAAATATGTACATCCTGAAGTCTACTCAACAGTCTTTCATCTACCAATTCATAGTTCAACAAACTTCTGTCATTATGCCCTTCTTCATATCTTGTATACTCATTTATCTTCTTTTTCTTAAAATACGTATTACTATAACTAAACCCCTTTCTATACAAAGTTCAGTCAAAGGGCTCCCATTATCATTTATACCTGGCACCCCAAACTTACCTACCACACTCTTTCTAAATGTTTCTCCCACTTTAGCATTTAGGTCCCCTACCACAATTACTCTCTCACTTGGTTCAAAGGTTCCTATACATTCGCTTAACATCTCCCAAAATCTCTCTCTCTCCTCTACGCTCATCTCTTCTCCAGGTGCATACACGCTTATTATGACCCATTTTTCACATCCGACCCTTATTTTAATCCACATAATCCTTGAATTTACACATTTATATTCCCTCTTCTACTTCCATAACTGGTCCTTCAACATTATTGCTACCCCTTCCTTAGCTCTAACTCTCTCAGATACTCCAGATTTAATCCCATTTATTTCCCCCCACCGAAACTCCCCTACCCCCTTCAGCTTTGTTTCACTTAGGGCCAGGTACATCCAACTTCTTTTCATTCATAACATCAGCAATCATCTCTTTCTTATCATCCGCACTACATCCACGCACATTCAAGCATCCCAGTTTTATAAAGTTTTTCTTCTTCTGATTTTTAGTAAATGTCTACAGGAGAAGGGGTTACTAGCCCATTGCTCCCGGCATTTTAGTCGCCTCATACGACCCACATGGCTTACGGAGGAAAGATTCTTTTCCACTTCCCCCATGGACAATTGGGAGAGAGAGAAAAAAAAAACGAGAGCAAGAGCTATTAAGAAAAAGAAGAAAAAACTTAGATGTGTATATAATAATATTATATAATATATATATATATATTATATATATATATATATATATATATATATATATATATATATATATATATATATATATATATAATATGCATGTCCGTGCCTGTGTAGTGTGACCTAAGTTTAAGAAGAAGTAGCAAGATATCCCTGTTATCCAGTGTGTTTATGAGACAGAAAAGAGACACCAGCAATCCTACCATCATGTAAAACAGTTACAGGTTTCTGTTTCACAGTCATCTGGCAGGATGGTAGTACCTCCCTGGGTGGTTGCTGTCTACCAACCTACTACCTGACCTTACCTGTAGATACTGATGCAGAAACCGACCTTACCTGTGGGTGATACTGGACCTGACCTTACCAGTAGATGATACTGGAGCTGACCTTGTAGACGATGCTGAGGTGACCTTACCTATAGGGGATGCTGAAGGTACCTAGGTGAAAATTCTGGTGACCTTACCTGTGGGTGATGCTGGAGATGACTTTAACTGTAGGTGATGGAGGTGACCTTGAAGGTGAAGATGCTGGTGATGGCCTTCCTGTAGGTGGTACTGGAGGGTGATTTTGTAGGTGATGATGCTGGTGGTGACCTTGCCTGTAGGTGAGGATGCTGGTGGTGTCCTTGCCTGTAGGCGAGGATGCTGGTGGTGACCTTGCCTGTAGGTGATGATGCTGGTGGTGTCCTTGCCTGTAGGTGAGGATGCTGGTGGTGACCTTGCCTGTAGGTGAGAATGCTGGTGGTGACCTTGCCTGTAAGTGAGTATGCCTGTGGTAACCTTGCCTGTAGGTGATGACGGAACTGACCTGGGCATTTGGTGCAAAATACCCCTGTGAAAAGTAGGGGCGCATTGGTATACTAAGAGAAAACACCATAAGTGTTCGCTGCCCAAGACTGTTCAACAGCTTCCCACCAGTCATAAGGGGAATTAACAGTAGACACCTGGCGGTGATGCTGAGGTGACCTTGTAAGTGATGCTGGTGGTGACCTTACCTGTAGGTAGTACTTAATGTAACCTTGTCAGAAGGTGATGTTGGAGCTGACCCTAAATGTAGGTGATGCTAGAGGTGACCGTGTAGGTGATGATGATGGTGGTGATCTTGCTTGTAAATAAAGAGGTGGCCTTGCCTGTAAATGATAATACTGAAGATGACCTTGTAGGTGATGCTGCTGGAGTGATCTTACCTGTAGATGATGCTTGAGGCGACCTTACTTATAGATGCTGCTGCTGGAGGTGACATTACCTTTAGGTGACATTACCTCTAGGTGAAGTTGGAGGTGACCCCTGTAGATGATGCTGGAGGTGAAAGTACTTGTAGATGATACTCGAGTTGACCTTATCTGCGGATGCTTCAGCTAGAGGTAACGATACCTGTAGGTGATACACTAGGTGACCCTTCATATAGGTGATGACGCTGGAAGTGACCTTACCTGCAGATGATTCTGGAGGTGACATTACTTGTAGGTGACCTTACCTCTAGGTGATGTTGAAACTGACCTTACTTGCAGATGATGTTGAAGATAACCTTACGTGTAAGTGATGCTGGAGGCGACTTTGTCTGTAGATGCTTCTGATGGAGGTGACCTTACATGTAGATGATGCTGGGGGTGACCTTACCTAAAGCTGATGCTGTAGGTGATCTTACCTGTAGGTATTGCAAGAGGTGACCTTAACTGTAGGTGATGTTGGAGGTGATCTTACCTGAATGTAGTGATAGTGGAGGTGACCTTACTTGTAGGGGTAATAGAATTGACCTTACTTGTAGTTGTTGCTGGAGGTGATCTTAGTTGTAGATGCTGCTGCTGTAATTGACCTTATTGGTAGATGCCGCTGCTTGAGGTGACCATTCCTTTAGGAGAGGAAACTGTAGGTGACCTTACCTGTAGATTATGCAAGAGGTTACCTTACCTGTTGATGTTGGAATTGAGCTTAGCTGTAGATAATACTGGAGATGACCTTAACTGTAGGCAATGATGCTGGAGGTGACCTTACTGGTAGATGTTGCTGCTTAATGTGACGCTACCTTCAGGTGAAGATATTATAGGTGACTTTTCCTCTAGATGATGAAGCTAGATGTGACCTTTCCTGTAGGTTATAATACTGAAGGTGACCGTAACTCTAGATGATGTTGTTAGTGACCTTACCTGTTGGCGATGATGCCGGATGTGACCTTACCTCTAGACGCTGCTGATGGAGTTTTCATTACCTGTTGATGATTATGCTGGAGGTCACCTTATTTGTATGTAGTGATACTGAAAGTGACCATATTTCTGGACGATGATGCTGGAGGTGACCTTACCTCTAGATTATGACGCTGGAAGTGACCTTACCTCTAGATGATGGTGCTGGAGGTGACCTTACCTCTAGATTATGACGCTGGAAGTGACCTTACCTCTAGATGATGATGCTGGAGGTGACCTTACCTCTAGATGGTGATGCTGGAGATGACCTTACCTCTGGACTTTATTCTTGAGATAAGTTTGCCTCCCGATGACTCCTGGAGTGTGATCATAATCTGTAAGGAGATGATCACGAAGTGACCTTATTAATGTAGTTATGAACGCCAGAAGTGAGACCTTACCAGTAAGATGAAGAATGGCTGAGGTTCCTTCCTTTAGGTGATGACGCTAGAGGTTTGACCTTTACCTTAGGTGATGAAACTGGAGGTGTCCCTTCCTGTAGTGATGACAGCTAGAAGCGACCTTAACCTGAAGGTGTGATGATGGATGACCTTACCTATAGGTGATGACGCTGGGGTTGGCTAAGGCACTGCATACAATGGTAGCATCATCTCCCTCCATCAGCAGGTGTGGACGGACGTGCAGCTGAACTTCAGGAGGGAAGAGAACACTCGAGCTGGACCGAACTGCAGGGAGAAGTGCCATAGGAGTGTGGAGTGAGAGTGTGGAGAGTCCTGTGTGAGGGATGAGGTCGATTGGGCATGGATGAGTGTGGAGTGAGAGTGGGGTGAGTGGGAATGAGGGATAATGTGGAGATAACATGAAAATGTGAGTTTGAAGTGAAGTTTTTGGGTGAGAATGAGTGTGGCGGGTTAGAGTGATGAATTGTGGGGAAGATTATTGGAGAGAAAGTGAGTGCGGAGTGAAAGGGAGTGTGACATGAGAGCGTGAACAGTGGGAGGGGGTATTGTGTTTTTGGGCTTGTGAGTGTGACAGAGGAAGGAGGTAGAAGTGAGAGTGAGTGTTGGGTTAGCGTAATAGGCGAGGGCTTTAAAGTGAAATGTGGGGGTTAGAGTGAGTATGTTGGGGGTTAGAGTGAGCGTTGGGTGAGTAAAGAAGAGTAAGAGTGAAAGTGAGCTCACAGTGAGTGTTTGAAGAGTGTGACTGAAGTAGAGAGTAGTTAAAGTAAGAGCAGTCAGAGTCGAGTCTTTTTGAAGTGTGCGAAAGAGTGAGTGTTAGTACAGAAGATAATTGAAAATTATGTGATAGATATCAGAGATGAGAGTGTGAGGGGGGGTTGATGGTGAATGGGGGACTGACTGAGAGAGGTTGAGAGTGACGAGGAATGTAGATCTGGGGAGGGAAATTAATGGGAGATGAAAAAGTGTTAGAAGAGTATTATAAGGGTGTGTGTGGGGAAAAAGGAGTGGTGGTGATATAAGGTGTGTGGGGATATAAGTTTTGTGGGTGGAATAAGTTGTGTGGGGATATAAGGTGTGTGGGTGAAAAAGGTGTGTGGAATAATGTGTGTGGGATATAAGGTGTGAGGGGATATAAGGTGTGTTGGGATATAAGGGGTGGTGGGGATATAAGGTGTGTAGGGATAAAAGGTGTGGGGAGGATATAAAGGGTGTGGTGGTGAATATAAAGGTGTTGTGGGGATATAAGGGAGTGGTGGGGTATATAAGGTGTGTGGGAATTAAAAGTGTGTGTGGGGATATAAGGTGGGTGGGGATATAAGGTGTGTTGTGATATAAGGTGAGTGGAGATATAGGGTGTGTGGAGAATAAGTAGTGTGGGGATAAAAGTGTGTGGGGCATTAAGGTGTGTGGGATATAAGGTGTGTGGGGATATAAGGGTGTGTGGGGATATTAGGTGTGGGTGGGGATATAGAGTTGTGTGGGAATAACAGGTGTTGGGGATATAAGGGTCGTAGGGATATAAGGTGTGTGTGTGGGATATTAACTTGAGTGGGATATAAGTGTGTGTGTGGGAATAAGGTGAGGGCGGAAAAAGCAAGGTGTGCGGGGATATAAGGTGTTGTGGAATATAGGTGTGTGAGTATATAAGGGTGTTGCGGTGGATATAAGGTCGTGGTGATATAAGTTGTGTAGGGAATAAAAGGTTTGTGGGATAAAGAATGGTGTATAGGGATATAAGGTGTGTGGGGATATAAGGTGTGGGTGGGACAAAAGGTTTGATTGGGTTATAAGGTGGTGTGGGGATACAAGTGTGGTGGGATAAAAGGTGATAGGAGTATAAGTGTGTGGGGTTATAAGGGGGGGGTTTATTGGGTGTTTAAAAGGGGGGGGGTGCAGTTGTGATGTTTAAGAGGTTGGGGGGTGGTGGTGTGTTAGAGTGTGGGGGTGCAGGTTGATGTCAAGAGGGTGGGGGGGCAGGTTGATTAAGTGTGTGGGGGGACAGGTTGAGTTTAAAAGGTGTGGGGGTGCGTTTTTTTTGTGTTAAATGTGTGGGGGTCAGTTGGGGATGTTAAAAGGTGGGGGGTGCGTGGTTTTTTTTAAAAGCGGGGGGGCGCTGGTGAGTTAAGAGGTTACGGGTTTAGGGGGTGAGTTAATAGGGTAGGGGGGGCGTGGGATGTTTAAGATGTGTGGGGGTGCAGTGTGTATGTTAAAAGGGGGTGGGGGGGGGAGTGTTGATTTAAATGTGGGGGGGCAGGTGTGATGTTAAAAGGTGTGGGGGCAGTGTGTGATGTTAAGGGTTGTTGGGGCATGCGGAGTTTGGAGGTGTGGGCGCATGTGGATGTTAAGGGTGGGAGTATGTGTGTAAAGTAAAGAGGGTGGGGGTGCATGTGTGAGTTAAGGGGTGTGGGGGCAGTGTGGATGTTAAGGTGTGGGGGTGCATGTGTGATGCAAGGGTTAGGGGTTAGTGGGATATTAAAGGTGTGGGGTTGCAGTGTGTGATATTTAAAAAGTGGGGGAGCATGTTGAGTTTAAAGGTTGGGGGATTAGTGTGTGAGTTAAGGGGGTTATGGGTGTTGTGTGTGATATTAAAGGGTTGGGGAGTGCGTGTGTGTTTTTAAAAGGTGTGGGGGTGCAGTGTTGATGTTAAAAGGTTTGGGGGTTGTAGTGTGTCTGGAAAGGGGGGTGGGGGTGAGTTGTTGTTCTAAAAGGGTTTTGGGGGGGCGTGTGTGTGTTAAAGGTTTGGGGGGCGTGTGTGCTTTTAAAAGGTGTGGGGGTGTAGGGGTGATGTTTAAAAGGGTGGGGGGTGTATGTTGATGTTAAGAGGTTTGGGGGGCTGTTAGTGTGTTAACAGGTGTGGGGGTGCAGTGTGTGACTTAAAAGGTGTGGAGGTGCAGTGTGTGTTGTTAAGAGGTGTTGGGTGCAGGCGTGATGTTAAGAGGTGGGGGGAGTAGAGTGTGATGTTGAGAGGTTGTGGGGGTGTAGTGTGTGATGTAAAGAGGTGTGGGTGGGGCAGTGTGTGATGTTAAGAGGTGTGGTGTGCAGTGTGTGATATTTAAGAGGTGTGGGGTGCAGTGCGTGATGTTAAGAGGTGTGGGGGTGTAGTGTGTGATGTTAAGAGGTGCTGAGGTGTAGTGTGGGGTTGTTAAAACGTGTCGGGGTATAGTGGGGTGATGTTAAGAGGTGTAGGGTGCAGTGTGTGATGTTAAGAAAGGTTGGGGTGGTAGTGGTGGGTTTGTTAAGAGATGTGGGGGTGCATTGTGTGATGTTGAAGGGGTGTGGGGGTGCAGTGTGAGATGTTAAAGGTGTGAGGGTGCATGGCCCGATGTTAAGAGGTGTGCGGGTTTCAGTGTGTGATGTTAAGAGTGTGGGAGTGCATGTGTGATGTAGGAGGTGTGGGTGCAGTGTGTGATGTTTAAGAGGTGTTTGGGGGTGCAGTGTGTGATTTAAGAGGTATGGGGGTGCAGTGTGTGATGCTAAGAGGTGTAGGGGTGAAGTCGTGACGTTAATAGGTATGGGGGTGCGTGTGTAATGCAAAAAGGGGTAGGGTGAAGTGTGTGATGTTAAGAGGTGAGGGGGGTTTCAGTTGGTGAATTAAGAGGTTGTGGGTGTTAAGTTTGTGATGTTAAGAGGAGTGGGGTGTAGTGCTTGATGTTTAAAAGAATGGGGTGGGAGTGTGTATGTTTAAAAGGTATAGGGGTGTAGTGTGTGATATTTAAAGGGTGTGAGGTGTATGTGTGATATTAAAAAGTTGGGGTGCAGTGTGTGATGTTAAGAGGGGGTGGGAGTGCAGTGTGTGATGTTAAGAGGTTTTAGGGGCGTAGTGTGTGATATTAAAAGGTGTGGGGGTACAGTGTGTGATGTTAAGAGTGTTAGGGGTGTAGTGTGTGATATTTAGATTGGTGGTGTAGTGTTGTTGGGTGTAAGAAGTGTGGGGGTGTAGTGTGTGATTTTTAAGAGATTTGGGGGTGCAGTATGTGATGTTTAAGAGGTTTTGGGTGCAGTGTGTGATGTTCAGAGGTGTCGGGTGCAGTTTGTGGATGTTAAGAGGTATGGGGTGCAGAGTGCGATGTTAAGAGGATGTGGGGGTGTAAGTGTGTGGATTTAAAGATTTGTAGGTGCAATGTGTGATGTTAAAAGTATAGGGGTGCAGTGTGTGATGTTAAGAGTAAAGGGGGAGTAGTAGTAGTGAAGTTAAGAGAGTAGGGGTTCAGTGTGTGTGATGTTAAGAGGTAAAGGGGTCAATGTGTGTTTTTAAGAGGTGTAGGGGTTGCTCTGTGTGATGTTAAGAGGTGTGGGGGTGCATTGTGTGATGTTAAGATGTGTGGGGATGCGTGTGATGTTAAGAGGTGTGAGTGCAGTGTGTGATGTTAAGAGTTGTGGTGGTTGCAGTTTGTGAGTTATGAGGTGTGGGGGTTTCAGTGTGTGATGTTAAGAGATGTGGGGGGTGCGTGTGTGATGGTTAAGAGGTGTGGAGGTGCAGTGTGTGATGTTAAGAGTTGTGGGGGTGCAGTGTGTGATGTTATGAAGTGTTTACTTTGCAGTGTGTGATGTTCAGAGGTGTGGGGTGCAGTGTGTGGTGTTAAGAGGTGTGGGGTGCAGTGTGTGATGTTTAAAGTTGTGGGGGTGCAGTGTGGGGATGTTAAGAGGTGTGGGTTGCAGTGTGTGATGTTAAGAGGTGTGGGGTTGTAGTGTGTTTAAAGCCAAGAGGTGGGGGGGGTGGGAGTATGTGATGTTAAGAGGTGTGGGGTTTTTTAGTTGTGTGATGTTAAAGGTGTGCGGGTTGGCAGTGTGTGATGTTAAGAGGTGTGCGGGTGCAATGGTTATGTTAAGGGTGTGCGGGTGCATGTGTGATATTAAGAGGTGTGGGGGGTGGTGGTGTGATGTTAAGAGTGTGTGGGGGTGAAGTGTGTGACGTTAAGAGGTGTGGGGGTGTCGTGTGTGATGTAAAGGGGTGTTAGGTGCAGGTGTGATGTTAGTAGGTGTTGGGGTGCAGTGTGTGATATTAGATGTGTGGGGTTTCAGTGCGTGATGTTAAGAGGTGTGGGGTGTATGTGTGATGTTAAGAGGTGTAGGGGTGTAGTGTGTGATGTTAAAAAGTGTCGGAGTGTAGTAAGGATGTTAAGAGGTGTAGGGGTGCAGTGTGTGATGTTAAGAGTTTAGGGGTAATTATGTGATGTTAAGAGGAGTGGGGGTGCATTGGTGTGGGATAATAGGTGTCGGGGGGCATGTGTGTTTTAAGAGGTTTTGGGGACGC